TGTTCTATAGAATTTTGGTTGTTTGCGAAGATGTCTGTGGTTTGTGACTTTTCTTTATGAAGGAATTGAAGCATTCAATTTTCTAGTGATGATGTTTGCAGTTTGTGGCTTTTTACTATTGAGGAATTAAAGTATTCATCATTATGGTGGTGATGTTTGTGGTTTTCCTCTATGGAGGAATTGAAGTATGTCGGTTGATATAGGTACTTGACGGCCATTGTCTATGTGGGTGGCTATTGGTGCTTTATGACCATTCTCTTTGATGGGTTGCTATTGGTGGTTGTGGCCTATGTGGGTTGCCATCTGGTGGTGTGACGATATTGGTGTGTCGGTGGTGTGATGGTTTCATTTGTTGGTGTTGGTGGTTGTGATAGTGTGTAGATGGAAGTGGTGGTTGTGGTAGTACTGATAGCGTGGTGGTCGTGGCTTATTGGTGTGATGGTGGAGGTGTGTTGGGTTGGTTTTGGTAGTTGCGATAGTGTTGTTGTAGTGGTGGTGATGTGTTGGGTTGGTTGTGGTGGTTATGATAGTGTTGTTGTGGTGTTGTTGGTGTGTAAATAGGAGTGGTGGCGGCGGCTTATTGTTGATGATGTGGGGTGGTTGTGAGTTAGTGTTGATAACATGGTGGTAGCTGTCCATCGATGGTGTAGTGTGTGTAGATGGGAATGGTGTTAGTGTGGCGGTGGGGGCTTGTTGAGTTGATGTGGTGGTGGTGGTGTGTAGGGTTAGTTGTGGTGGTTGTGGTAATGTTGTTGTGATTGTGTGGTGGTGGTGTTATTGGTGAATGGAGTGGGGGGAAATTGTTTTAATTGTATTTTCTTTTCTTTTACCTTTCCATATGTGGGTTTTTAAAATGTTACTTTTTTTTTACTGTGCCATAAATTTATGTTATTTTTATTCATGCTAGTATACGTGATGGGTAACACAAGAGAAATTAGTTTGTCTGCCACGTGGGATAAAGACATTAAGCTAATATTTTGTGTTCTTTGTCTTAAAGTAGTGGATTTAGGAAATAGACAAACCACCTATTTTAACAAGGGTTAATAGAATATAATAACAATTTTCAAGGAAAACACATGAAAGGAATATGATAGGATTCACTTGAAAAACAAATGGGATCTGTTAAAAAAAGATTGTAAAATATGGAAATGTTTTAAGCCAGTATCCATAAGCTTGGGTTGGGATTCAATAAAGCAAACTATCTATGCTTGGAAGGAATAGTGAGCTAAGAGCTTGGAGGTGAGAATTTATCAAACACCACGTCCTTCACCATTTATATTTCTTGCAGTTACATCATATCAAACATTCATTAATTTATAGATCGTGCCAAATACCAAAAAAAATTAAATTTAGTAGCATTGACCCCGAGCTTGAGAAAAGTTTCGATTACACAAAAATCCGAAACAAACAGGCCTCGTAGCCCTGTTTTCGAACGCTCCACAGAAAAAAATTGAAAACAAAATTGCTTTTTTATAAAAATAAACCGAAAAATTTACAATCTTTCCAAGAAGAGAATACGGTGTTTGGTTTGTCAATGTCCTCATCTATTGCCACATGGGGAATAATATTTTTCAGAGAACCTAAAAACAAAGTCTGACTTATGCAGACTTTCATCACTACGTCCTTGTTTCGGGATGCAGAACACTCGTTTCCACCCGAGATGAATGAGCCAGGTTTCAAAGCTGCAGCTTCTTTGAGAAATTTTTATTCAACCTTCGCTCCATCCAACCCAGGCATACTGCTCTCAGCAACAGTCTCCTTAACAAACCTGGAAATCACAAGAGCATTTGTACATATTATTAGCAGTTAAGAGCATGGTTGTGAAAACTGGATCGAATAGATGGTTTTAACTTGTCTGACCATGATCATCAATCCTCAAACTAATTCAGACAAGCCAAAAAAAAAAAAAAAAACTAACATTGGAGGGAATCTGGATAGTCCCATGAGTAATGGGTGGTTGAACTCATTTGAGTAGACATTATAATGCAGATTGGAGGGAATCTGGATAGTCCCAAGAGTAATGCAGAGATGGTTGAACTCATTTGAGTAGACATTATAATGCAGAGATGGTATTAATCATAGCACACAATTCTTATTTGTTTACATATCTGACGCCTAAGTTTTCATATTTACACAGTGCACAAATCTTTAATATCACGCCAAAAATAACATTATTAGCACTTTTTAAAAGTGAAAAATAGATTTTCACGCATAGATTTAAAGCACCAAAGTACCGTGTATGTATATGTATCGATGTTTAGGTGTGGGATATGTAAAAACATAAGAATTGTCCTATGTATGTAAATTTCCCTATATATATATATATATTCATCATCAATGTTAAGAACAATACGTTACTTTAATAATTTTCATCATTTTAATACTATTTATATCATCACGGTTGAGTAACTCTGATTGGATCCTAAATGAAATGAACCTTTTCTACGACGACAGTTCAATGTCCTGGGTCTAAAAACCGTAGTGTAAAATACACTACACTGAACCACTCAATACAAAAGCGCTAATATGTTGGCAGTATAAAAAACGATGGTCTATGTTGGGTGTCACCCCACCAAACACATTTAATTATTCAGGCAACAATGATCAAGTAGAGGAAGAAAATAGTACCTCGCCAGTTTCTCTTGAGATGATTGCAGTACATAGATAGCGAGAATGAAAGAAAGAAGGAGACCTGTTTGTCGCACAAAGAAGCATATTAATCAGATATAGATACACTGCAACCAAACTGCAGGTGCTCAAAATCTCATGAAGCAATCACAATCGAAACTTCCATTTATCCTACTTGGGATGCAAGCTGAGTCAGTAGAGGTTGTAATTATTTCAGCAGGGAATTTCAAAAAAAGGAAGAAATCAATAAAACTTCGAGATTGTTGCTATTACTGCTTACTACCATCTTAATTAGAAGAATTTTGATAAATAATCAACATGATATGCTATTATTTCTTCCCTACTTATTATAATTTATGAAATTTACATATAAGCGTTCAAACCAGTACATAAAACCATAATGCAAATTTACAGAAGATAATTTATACGTTGTCCTAGTCTAATCTTTCAAGGCTGATGACAAGTTTTATTGCTTCCAATGATGTTATATCTCCTTTTCGGACAGGTCTAACAGATCACAATTAATGGCTAACAAAAGAAAACGTGTTCCATCCATCTTTATCTGTGGTAATCTACATTAATATAGTGAATTGAGACAAAGTACACTCAAAAAAATAGTTTCCTTAGGGGAGCCAACTACCTTCATTTAGATTTTGTGATTGATTGTCACACTTCCAAAAATTAAATGGCAATAAAAGAAGTCTGTGTTGCATACATTGTAATACTCTTTCTGACATTTTCCAATTACCACCACTTTTCCATGAATATATATATATATATATATATATATATACTAAAAGCGGTTAAATGAACAGATACGAACAGGAATCTACTTAAATAGGCTTCCTTCCTAATATAGGTGTATTAAAGGATCCAGCTTAAAGCAAGAATGACCCAACCTCGCCACCTCAGGCATATGCCGGTCAAGCTCATGTAGCCAAGCACAAGTATGTGGAGTACAAATGTCAGGACAAAAATTCCCAGAAACAATGAAATATGGGCTAATGGCAACCTTTGAGTTGTGATCCATTCGCCGCTCAACCCTTTGACTTGGGGAGGAAATACTCAGAGATGAAAAGACTAAACAAACAACTAAAAGCCTCAGGGATCTAAGCATAACAATGTTTTATGCTCATTTTATATAGATAAATTACCTGTATAAATAGGAGAGATTAAATTTAAACAGATTCTGATCCTCATCCGGACTAATCATGCTTCTTTTGATGATGATAAAGCTTTTTCATAGACTTTCAACGCCCTCTCCCTCTCTCCTCCCTTTCTCCCTCTTTCTCTCTCTTTCCAAATGCTCTATTCCTTGAGACTGATTCATGAACAAATTGGGATTCAAAATCTGGAAAAAATATCGGGAGCATGGACCATGCCGTAAACAAAAAGAGAAGCTATACAAGAAGAGTTGAGTAGCATAAAAATCACAAGAAACTTGAATTGCATCCGGGAATTTATCACCCAACAGATCAAAGAGCTAAATGAATAGGTAATGGTGAATATCATAGAAATATTTGCTCAAACAACAACTCCACCACCATGACCAATAGCTCAATCACAACGAAGAGGCAAACTTGCCGCCAATGCCAGAAGGACTCCTTCACCAGCATGATAGAGGAGAATGATTCGTACTTACCCAGATAACATAGGTTCCATCCCACCTGACCACAATAGGCGATGGCAAGTTGAAACCCCCCATTCGTACCAATTGGAGAATGTTTTCTCTAGGGAGATATCTTGAGCAGAGGCACCCCCGAATGCTTCAAAATCCTATTTATAGAGTCCTAAATATGGCCGTCAGACCGATCACATTGCCTTATTTGAATGAACCATGTGCTTGTCAAGAATGAATAATGTGTTGAAATGCCAACTATTCTTCATTGCTATGAAAAAGTCATCCCTCACATAGTTTAACAGCTAAACATTATGGGTAATAACCTCTTTTGCAGACTTAAAGAGAATGTTCATAATGCAGTTCGCTAGTGCCCAAAAGCTTCACACGAGTTCACATGCATTATTGCGACTTCACCAAGAACCTAGGGAGATCTTGTGAGCATTTATGACTCGCTTAGAGAGAGAGATGCTTGAGATAAGAGACTTAGAACCCACAATCGCCCCAACCGCCCAGCTCAAGTCCAAAAAGAAAACTCATTCTGCTATGAGCTCAGCCTACAACTCCTAAAGACATCCTAACTATTGGAACTTGCAAACAATCAATATATCTTTGGAAGAGTATAATTCACCATTAGTCTCTACACGGGTCGGGCATTACAGAAGGCACCCATTGAAGAGAAATTTTCAGAAGAACACTTGACACGTAGAGTTGAAAAAAATAAAACGCTCAAATCATCACAAGAATCAAAGTGTCGCAACCAAATCTTCTATTCAACTGTGGGATAATATTTATTACAAATGATTCAATTCTAATAAGGCAAACAAATACAGGGAATCAAGATGAAAATAAAAACATTATATAGGGATTCAAATGATCTTTGTGTATTCAATCCACCGTATGAGTTGGTGCAGTAAGAACTATCCTCCAACCGTGAGCTAGCTCATGCAACTGGAATCAACTTGATCTTGAAGCTTTTCAATTTGGCGATCTCTCACCACAGATCGGTTAACTGCGCCACCTGCTCAATTGCATTCACTGTAGGGGCGACTTCAAGAGGCTATTGCAGCATGATTCAACTCTTGAAGGGGAGGGACAAGCACCTCTAATATACACTCCCCTTGATCTTCCTTCGCCTTCAAAGCATTCCCATCTGTTGCAACCGAGTATGTTTCTCCTCATCCGCATGATCATCCTTCCCCATCTGGGGCATTTGACGACACCTTTAGATTCAACCAATCAGTATTCTTTGTACGGCAATCGGAGCCGCAAAGTTCGTTACTATTTCTCATAGTAATAATAAAATAATGAGATTTTTTACATTGCACCAATCTGCATAGATGTAGGAGATCGGAAAATAAAGGTAGCTTATCGAGCTTGATCTTTTGCCTGCAAAAGAGGAGTCGCCCCATGGACGCATCCTTGACATCTCTCCATCGGTGGAAGTCAAACTCTCCTTCATTTCCCTACCACTTTGTGTCCTTTCAGTTCGCTCGCGTACTTCCGCTTGATTAACAAACTCGACAACAAGTCTTTATCCTGGAAGTTGGTATTTGATTCGTTGAGATTCACCATGGCGCTCCAAGAGAATGTAAATAGTCAAATATGAGAGTAAATAGAAGGTCCCGAAACACAAACTAATTCAATGAATGACTCATTGCCTTACGACAGGGCATCCACATCATAAATGACATTTTAATTTTGTAATAATTCAATTTATCAATTCTCTCATTTTTATCGCATCACGATTTTCGAGAAGACAAGAGAATCAAATGACTGAATATGTTTAACCAAAAAATAGTTAATATGAACTAATTGGGACAAGAATCTATATAAATGGACATCCTTGTTAAAAGATCTAGCCCAAAAGCAAGAATGGAGGGACAAGAATCTATATAAATGGACATCCTTCCTTGTTAAAAGATCTAGCCCAAAAGCAAGAATGGCCCAACCTAGCCAGCTCGGACATATGCTAATCAAACTCGAGCAACTGAGTACGAGTGTCCGAATATGAGTATGTGGAGTACGAATATCAAGATCAAGGTTCAAGTACATAGGAGAATAAGGGTTGATGGTAACCTTTTAGCTGTGATATATTCGCCGCACAACCCTTTGACTTGGGGAAAACTCCCAAGAAAGATCTTGACCTAAATGATGATATGACCAAACAAACAACTAGAGACCCTTATAGATCTAGGAATAATGAATGCATATGCTTATATTGTGTAGAGAAATTACCCCTATAAAAGGAGGGAGATTAAATGTAAATGGATTTCGATCCCCACCCATTCAAATCCCGTTTCTTTCCATGATACCCCCCCTCTCTCTCCCTCCCTTTCTCCCTCTTTCTTTTTCATTTCTCACAGTCTATTCCTTGGGTTTGATTCACGGACAAAACATGATTCAATACAGACACGCACACACACACACACTTAAAATGCATATGTATGCACACATATATACATAGCTTAAATGCATACGTATACACACATATATACATACATATACACAGATATATGCATACACATACACACATACATACAGATACATACATCTACACACATACATACATAAATATAGATACAATATATATAGACTACATACATACATGTAGACACACACATACATACATACATATATATATATATA